ATATAGTAAATTTCCGTAATAAATATTAATAAATAACTAATATAGTAATATTATTAGAATATAATATATAGTAAATTTCCGTAATAGATATTAATAAATAACTAATATAGGGTGAATAGGGTTCATAATTTCCAGAGCACATAGCACTAGCCGAAACATGAAAAGTTTAAGAAACATAAAAACTAATAAACATGAGTCGAAGAATTAAGTTTCAAAGTTATAAACGATTTTTTGTTTCGACTGAAACAAATTGAATGCTTGTGAAAAAGTTAGAATACATCTGGGAATCGTTGAAAGAATACGTAATTTTGTAATACGAAATTGTCAAGCATACATAAAAATGAATGAAGAGAAAGAAAAAATTATAACTCATATTAAAAATTTTAATATAAGTATTAAATTACAATATAATTATATATATAAATATTAAAAGTTATTATAAATTATATATGTATGTAAGTAGTATAAATTATACTACTTACATACATATATAATTTATAACAACTTTTAAGTATAAACTAATTATAATAAATTATACTACTTACATATAGCTCATACTATACTACTTATATGTACTACTTACATGATAGCTCTCGAAGCGAAAAAATTCCTTTCTTCAACAGAGACAAAAAATTGTTTACAATTTTGAAGCTATTAATTTTTCTAGAACTTTTTCTCATGTTTTCGGCGAGTACTATGTACTCTAGAAGTTGCGAACCCCTTTTTTTCTATTCATTCTGCATAATATAGTATGTAATAAATAATAAATAACTTCGTTGACCGGTATTTCGACGATCGAGCCTCTATTATACAGCTCAACATGAAGGAAGTAACTTCTTTACTAACAGGTAGTAATCCAGCCAGAAACAGTCTACGAAAGGGCTCAGTATCAGTTCGAAGACGAAGCGTTCGACACGGTGGCAGATCTGATAACATTTTACGTGGGCAGTGGTCGCCCTATAAGCCAAGCAAGCGGCGCTCGCATAATCAATCCGAAACCAAGATGCGTTCCCCTCACCTGCGTGCCACCCCCCACGAATAGTCAACACTGTTCCAGCCCTTCCTCCTCGTCCCTATCGACCGGCTCCCCACCACGTCTACCTCGGAAACAGCAACGGAGTCACTCCCTGACTGCGCAGCATCATCCCTCTGATCAGCACGACGGTCGTCAAACGTCCAACCAACAGGCAACGTCTCACGGGCCAGTCCAGTCGAGCACTTTGCCACGGGTGCCGCCTATTCAAAATCAACCACCGTCGTGTTCCCTGTCTCTCGGTCGCCAGAAAATCACCAGGGTGATCTCCGATCCGGCACTCCAACAGCAACAACAGCCGACGCTTCAGCCATCGAGCTTGAACCATCAGAATTCACACGGCACTGCTCCGCCAAAGCCACCGAGGGTGCCGTACGCCCCTAATCACCAGCATCACGCTCATCACCACCATCACCATCACCATCACCACCATCAGGGCTACCAAGCGTCAGGAAGCGACAGTGGAAACGGATCCGGGGACAGCGAGTTCGAAACGAACAATTCTGGCGGCGCTAGTAACCCCTCCTCCTCTGCCCCCATCAAAGGAGTCGTGATCAGAAGCCATTACAACACCAGTAACGATGGCACCAACGGGAACAACGGCAACGAGTACGAACTATCCGCGGAGGAGCAGCTAGTAGTGGCTGCGCCGTCTTTGGAAATCACGACGGCCTTGGACATCGAAGGTTTCACCACCCTGTTACTACCAGCTGGCGAACACAGGCCTTTAGATCCCACTGCTCTGAGAGGGGTGTCTGGAATGTTGCACGACTCGGCCCCGAGAGTCTTAGCGTCACATCTGACGAAGATCGATCTCGAATTGGCTCTACAACCTGGCACCGGGAACCGAAACGGGCTGAGCGGTATCGAATTGGCTACTCTGCCGCATGGTCGACAGGCTAGGATTGACTTGATCGAACGGTCCGAGTGTTTGAAGCTCGTCGTGGCGGTGACTGTGCTGGCTGGAGCCACCGCCATCGAAAGAGCGGCTACCATCAGCAAATGGATCAAAGTGGCCATAGACACGAAGACGGCTTTGGGCAATTTGTACGGCTTCTGCGGCGTGATGCTTGGCCTGTGCTTACCTCAGATACAGAGGTTGGCTAACACCTGGCATCTGCTGCGGCAGAAACACACCGACGAAGCGTTTAGCTTCGAGGCGAAGCTCAGGCCCACGCTTCGTGCTATGAACGAGTGCACGAATCCACAAGCACCGAACACTACGCTGCCACATCTGTTGCCCGTCGCTCTCCTCGGTGAACGAGGTCCGGAAGATATTCTAGGTGCGTTGAATAAAGTCTCCTCTTGATTTAACGATCAAAGGCTTTGGTAACAGTCATTTCTCAAGAATTACGTGGAATTATCTTTGATATTTTTCTTTTTCTTTTTCTTTTTCTTTTTCCTTAATTTTCATTTCACCGCAGGGAGGTTTGTTGTTTTGGAAGAATATATTTCTATTCTGTGTATTCCAATAAAATTTAAATTGTACGCCTTTTCAGGAACCGTGGCTCCGTCAGGCCTGGCAGCAGCAATTCTGTCACCCTGGGAAAATTCAGCCCCCGACTGTGGCCTGTCCATCGTTTGGTCTCATTTAGAATCGGCTCGAAAAATGGCGGAAAGCCTGCCGTTGTTCCGCCGAAACGCAGAAATTGTCCTCGAAGGTTCGAGGAGCGACGAGTTACTATCCGACGCGTTTCGAACCGAATTTCATATAAAATTTCTGTGGGGGAGTCGGGGGGCCACGGTGGCGCCAGAGGAGAGGCATCTGAAGTTCACGCAGGTATTAGACGCGATGTTCGACAAGTGTTCGTCGACCGAAGTGACGGCCTAAACGCGATCAAAAGAGAATATTTTAGATAGAAGTTCGATCTGTACCATGCTTGTTATTCAAGAGAACGAGACTTGCATAGGAAACGAGGGACCCGTTCGATTTAGTTTTTACGTGTAAATTATAACTGTGTAATTATGTAATTAAGTAACTGTAATTAATTATACTTATCCGTAGGGTTTAGTATTTCATTTGATAAGACTCGTAATGTGAGTAAATTGTTAGCCGATTATAGCGTTTAAAATACGGAATAAGGTAGGATTTAGTCGAGTCGAGTTAAGTTTAGCCACTTTGTAAATTTATCAGATTGACTTGCGAACAAATTCTGAAGGCAGATCATTGGACTGATCAATTGTTGATCATCAGACGTGATGAGCGATACTTGGCAGCCATTAATATGCACGAATAATTTTTTCGTTCTTTCGTTATTACATTGAAAGCAAATGACGTCTTGTAAAATACAAGGCCGATTATCCTGTGCAAATGTTAAAGCTTAACTGGCTCAAACAATTCTAGTTTATTCCACAATATTTTCCGAATATCTCATACATACAACATACAGTTTTCCCGCGATTCTCGCCATTCTTTCAACTATTTCTTCTAACGAGATCGCAAATTATAAGCGTAACCTGTGAAACGTGATTTTTCCATCACGACGAAAAAGACACTTCTTATGGGATGAATATAGAAACAAGGGAATAATAAGTGTTTTTGCATGGTATATTCGTCGCAATGCACAATTGGGATGTCCAGCCGATCTAAATATCTGGCCAAAAATCGTACCACTTAAAGACATTTAATTAGACGGGATTTCCTTATACTTCCGGGTGAATCTCGTCTATAATTCAGCAAAGAGGTAGACTCGAACATCAAAAGACTGCAAGGACTTTTCGCGGGTATATTGCGGATGAGTGATTTACAACGGAAAGAATAGCGCAATATTAGAGATGTGTGAAAACTCCGAAAATACTGAGAACCTGATGGTGCTCGGGAATGTCGCGAACCCTAACAAATATCTCGCGGTTTCGAGTATGTCTCGAGATATTTTGGGATTCCCGAGAACATCGGGTTCGCAGTATAGTCGAGATATTTCAATTTTTCCAGACTTGTTTCCCGAATAGTCCGATTCTTTCAGACAGTCCAACTCGTTCCGGGTAGCCCGATTATTTGAGATTATCCGAGACCTTTCGTGCAAGCCCGACTCGTTTCGAACCGATCCGATATTTTCAGGCAGTTTGAACGCGTTTCGAACAACTGATTCTTTCTGGCAGTTCGACTCGTTTCGGAATAGCTCGACTCGTTTCGGGTATTCTGAGTTTTTCAAGTGCTCCGATTCTGTCGGGGAGTCTTTCGAGTAACCCGATGTTTCGGGCTCGCCTGACAAAGTCGGGTAGTGGCTTTCGGTTTCGGAATAAGTCTGACAGATTCACCAAATGACAAATTCTACACCGAATTTGATCTTGAATGTCAACATGTAATTATTCAATATATTAATATTGAATATCGTCGAATACATCAGGCTTCTTCCGAGAGTTGACCGCACCACCCGACACAATCGGGCTACCCGGTTCTTTATATACAGGGTGTCTCGTTTAAGTGTGATCTCAAATACGATTTAATTGCAAAGGTGTACAAAATATTTTATATATATAAAATTGGATTATAATTGGATTAAATATAATTGGACTATAATTGGACTATAATTGGATTAAATAAAGTATGGCCAGTAGTTATTCTGCAAAGCAATGTTCTTACGAAGGATTCTTTCTTTTTTCGAAGTTTTCAAAGACATCGATGTTTTTTTTTTTCATATAACTACATATCTCTCTCTGTTACATCAAGTAGCTTACGAAAATATGCAGATGTCAACCGCAGTTCACATCTGAATATATTTCTTTGTGAGCTACGCGATGCAACAGCGAAAGCATACGTAGTTATAAAAAAAAAAAAATCTTCGATGATCTTGAAAACTCCGAAAAAAGAAACGTTTCTTTTGGAAAGAATAGAATTTTGCAGGATAAAATTTTAACGTATGAAATATTTTTTTCATCTTTATAATAAAAAGAGATATTTAGGTCACGCTTAAATGAGACACCCTGTATTCCGGGGCCTGAAACCCCCGACCATCTTACCCGATCCGACCCGGGTTGAGAATATCAGGTACCTGCACACCCCAAAAATAAATAAAAACAAACAAATATTTCGGGTTTTCCGAGAATTTCGGATTGCCCGAGGTATCACGAGAATTTTGAGGGAATCATCGGGAAGTGTAAAAAAATTCCGTCCAATTGCAAGCCTTCAAGTGCGCGATTTTTGGCCGGTTAGATCGGTCGAATTATCTCACTGTGTGATGGTCAAATCGTATCTTTAAGAAACAAAGAATCAAAATCAAATAGCATTATAGCGACTTCGACGTGTGTATATGTTGTTGTTTAGTAGATAATAATATTCTTGAACATTTAACCGATCCTCCTACGAATGAAAGCTTCTATTTAATCTTCTTTCTCGAGATGAGATTGAAGTTGTTTTGAAAGATCACAGAGAGAATACAGAGAAACATTGTACTTATTCTAATCAACTTATTGCTTGAACTATTATGCATGTTGTAAATGTAAGGCAGTATTTAATCTTTTTTCTTGATATTTTGTTAGGTTTAAGAGAGACACAAACGACACATTGTAATCAACTTCTTGCTTGAACCATTATATATGTTGTAAATGTAAAGTAGTATTTAATCTTCTTTCTCGCGATGAGATTGAAGTTCTATGCAGACTGACATGGCGTAATAATCATTGCTCGAACCATTATATATGTTGTAAATGTGAGGTAGTATTTCATCTTCTTTCTCGCGATGAGATTGAAGTTTCTATGCAGACTGACATGGCGTAATAATCATTGCTCGAACCATTATATATGTTGTAAATGTGAGGTAGTATTTCATCTTCTTTCTCGCGATGAGATTGAAGTTTCTATGCAGACTGACATATTGCTGTAATCAACATTGCTCGAACCATTATACATGTTGTAAATGTGGTAGTATTTAATCTTCTTTCTCGCGATGAGATTGAAGTTTCTATGCAGACTGACATATTGCTGTACTATACATGTTGTAAATGTTGTTCATGTTTGTTAATAGGCATAATTACACGAAAAAAAAATTAACCTTGTGTTTTTCTTTGATTTTAGTCTATACCCTACCAGATAATACGAACCTACCCTATCTCTGACCACCTTTCTTTTAGGTGGACATTAATATACAAAGGGAAACTTGACGGAAGTGTTCTATTAGTTTGTGGTTGCAAATAATAAAAAATAGAAATAAATAATAAAAGTAATACTAAAAATCCGATATAGGAAGCTAAATCTAATAAATAAGATCTAAACTAATTTCACAAAAATTTGCATCATGAGTTTATATTTTCATAGCCATGATACGACTAATATTAAATAAATAAAATAATTATTTTAAGTTTCTATTTAAATTTCTATTTTAAGGAATCAATTAATTATAGATCTAAAGTGATTAAAAAATACACATTTTAACTGTAAAAATAGTCACTGAGACCTTATTTTGTTAATTTAGTCAAAAATTCTATTTTTTAATACAGATTGAAATAAAAGTAAGAATGTATAGAAAGATGAACTTACATAAAATGTAAGAATGTATAGAAAGATGAAACAAAAAATTCAGATTGAAAAGTGATTTTTTTAGACAATTTCTTATTTCATCTTAGGACTTTCAAAACGATATGGAATCAGATACGTATATTTTACTTGAATTAAGTATATGTGAAATACCTTAGCCATGCTTGATTCAACAGACACATACGCGTGCGCCATTGTTCCAATAAGTCAAATCAGCAAAATCAGCAAAATCATCGAATTGATCATTCATTATTATTATCTATCCTTTTCAGCAACTAATCTGCACAAAAGAACCAAAGATCTAAATAAATACATGAAAGTAAAACGAATTGTATTAAAGAAAGCAATGACAAAATTTGAATTCTATTGAATCAGAATAGATCAAAGTACCGAATATAAATTATCGAACATTCAAATAAGTGCTGAACAGAAAAAATCTAAAGCCTTAAAAGAGCATTTAATTTCGATACAATAAAAAACTGTACTATGTATATATATTAATTAAACATTAAAATTAATAATAACTAATGACCTTTGAATAAATATGAAGCATTTGAAGTTACACAGGTGAAATAAAATACGAAATATACATACAACCGCCACGATTTTCAGCAATAGACTGATTATTTGACGCTACAAATTCCTTTGTAGCTTCCTGATTGGTTGAAAAGTAGCGCTTCATCTTCCAATCAAAAATCGCGCGCGAAATTGAAATATTTAAATAAAAGTATAATAATTCTATTATATTTATATGTGTACTTATTTTTATAGAAATTAAATAAATTAACAATTAATTATCAACTGACATATTCAATTATTCAATATATTCTACAAAAATTTCTAATGGATTACAGATAATTATATGTATATTATTCTAACCTCAATTAAATTTACACAAATTCCATACTTGCATACAGTAATTAAAATAGAATATTTTTCTTAATATATATTGTAAGAATGAAAATAATATTATATACGACGTCACTTCATTAAACATTACGTTTTCTATATGGAATCTTAAATCTATGTTGCGTTTTAATATATGCGTCACACATAGCTATTATACAGTAACGTGCGCAATTACAGAATCTAAGTGATCTAACAAGTTGATTATGATGAAATAATTACTCATCTGTGTACAATAATAAATTAACCTGTACGTGTATACTTTTCATTAACAATAACGGAAATATTTGGCATGCTTAATAACGTGCGTACTTGTGTTATGAGTTAAGTTATCACTTTGCAAAAATAGTAACGATGATTAGCTATAATAGCATAGATAACAAAACTGTACTTGACAAGTCATTGTTTAGATAACATTGGTTCAACGGATTAAATAGTTGGATCTTAAACATAATTCAAACTGTTTGTGACAATATTGAAGATAGTTCTAATAACAAAATATGAAACCTTTAACTGATTTGCCATTAATATCAAGATTATCATCACAAGTGATAAGAATTTTAGGATGTAACAGAGGACCTATGACGTTACAAGGTACAAATACATATCTTGTTGGTACTGGCACCAGGTAAATAAATGTTAAATTTAACAGTTAAAATTAATGGTGTGTAACAAAAATTAATATTTACTTCTTTTTATAGACGTATACTAATCGATGCAGGTGAAGAAAAAACTGCCAATGAATATATAAAACTGTTGCAAGAAGTCTTAAAAAAAGAAAATGCAACTATTGAACATCTATTAATTACACATTATCATCTTGATCATTTAGGAGGAGTGAATTATGTGTTGAATATGTTGAAAGCGCTTGATGTCGGAGGATCTTCCAGCACTGTATGGAAATTACCAAGAGCTTTAGAAGACACAAAGACCACTGATCTTGAAACAAAAGTTCAGTGGCAAGTTTTAAAAGATAAACAAATAGTGGAAGTAGAAGGTGCAAAAATTTGTGTTGAGTACACTCCGGGACATACAACTGATCATGCTTGCTTTATGCTTGAAAACGAAGAAATATTGTTTAGTGGAGATTGTGTTCTTGGAGAAGGCACTGCTGTGTTTGAGGATTTATATACCTACCTGACTACTCTAAAAAAAATGTTGGCAATGAAGCCAAAAATAATCTACCCGGGTCATGGACCTGAAATAAAAGAGCCAGAAATTGTAATTAACCATTACATTAACCACAGATTAAAAAGAGAGAATGAAATTTTAGATGTCCTTCAACAAAATACAAAAGATGTTACATTGTCTGAAATGGACATTGTAAAACATTTGTATACGGTAATAATTATTATTTGATTTATGATATATATTTAAACAACGTGCAAAATAAAGGTTAATATTTTTAGGATACTTCTCAAGATTTATTGCAAGTAGCAGCCTATGGTGTATGGCGTCATCTTGAAAAATTATTAAAAGAAGGTAGAGTGAAAGGCGAGAAAGGAAAATGGCAAAGTATATAACATAAAATGATTTTAGCAAGTTATTTAATTTAAAATCTTAAATTGTTAAATTAATCCGTAGTATTTGTAAATGTACAAAATGGATAAAATACAGTATACTATTGTTTCATAGTTTATTTGTAGTCTAATACTAAATCCATATCCATGTCAGTTGAGAAAATCATTAAGAAAGCGATGCTGTGAAACATTTATTCGACTTACAGGAACAAAATGATAATACATTATTCATGAATTTTGTTTTTCAATGTTTAGGCTGACAATGCTAAAAATGTGCGTACAGTGTACAGTAATTGCTACAAAGAATTTCACGAAATATATGCCACATAGTATAATGATCTGCTTATTCGATTAATGCAGCATTCATAGTCTTTTCATTTACTTTCCGAGCTCATGGAACACGTAACACGTGAAGATGCTCGATGTAAAATATATACTTTGCTACAAAGACATATCACGACATTAAACGTTTCAATATCTTCATTATAAAATCTGTTTTCTACCATATAATATTGGCGAGTATTCATACACGCGGTTATAGCACCCCTTACTTTGAACAAAGGGTTCAAAACCCTAACGTAACATGATGTTACAATATATATCTATATATGTGTATATATATATAGATTTCGTTTATATCTTTAATAAGCTCACTTCATCTGATCATCTCTATTTCTCTCTTTGGGTAAACGTAAAAAATATATATATTTACGCACTTTACGTATGTATATATATATACACACACTATGTATATGTATATATATATATATATTTTTTTCTATATTAATTATTTTTCATATCGACATATAATATAATCTCTCTGTCGTTTTGCATTTATCTAGCAATTATCGATAACATCAGCAACGCAATCACATAATATTCTATTAATTGATATTATCAACAAAAAAATTGTAATTATTAAACAACATACGAAATATATTATATACTTAAAAACATATATGATAGAAACGACATCAAACAACAAGATGATTCATTTGTTAGAATGAAATCAAGTCAAAGAAAAGAAGATGCATTAATGTATTAATGAACTCTGTTGTAGAATTCTATTTTAAGATACTATGAGAAAAAAAAACGTAACTTCTACTACACTCAATTCCGGTGACTCCGTTTAGAGTTGAGTGGGGTCAGTACCTGTTGATTTTTATAATACATATATACGTATATACTTCCAACGTTTCTTTTTTTTCGCAACGAGAAAGACCAGTTTCAGATACTTTACAACAGGGGGAAAGGCACCTGGATGCGCAAGAGACATTTGATGGAGATAAATAAAATGAATTATCACATTTGACAACTCGTAGAAAAAGGAAGTTAAAGAAAACCCTAACTGTCGCGCTCTTGTGCGCCCGTCTTACTTAACACATTAAAAGTTTTCAATTGTTATAAAGGTGGTGCTAACTTCGTCCATTTTCGTCATATAAAAACGGATTTCGTAACTATCACATACAAAGTCTGAAACGACAATGTGGCACAAATATATAACTCGTACCGAGCCAAGACTATATCTCTCATACCCAACCGATTGGAATTAATTATATACTCTCGCATTCGTTCATTCGTTCTCTCATTCTTTTCGTCTCTCTTCCTCTCGCTCGTTTTCATTCTTTTTTACTTTCACGCCCTCTCTCCATATCCGAAGATACATCGAATACACAATTATATTTTAATGACAAGAATACGGCAGTACTACACAAGAAAACCGTTTTGAGGATCGAAGCAGCTCGGATTTATGTAGCTTAACAGATCATGATCCGACATCGAGGTAAGCTCCTGAGGCAGCATACCGTCTTCCTGCTTTCTAACCGTTGTACCGTTTGCACTGTTAGCCGCGTTTGCTATAGGTGGGTTTACATTTTGTCTGTTGGGTGTCACAGGTAAGGCAACTGGTGGCGACTTGCTCGTCACCTGTTCAACGATATTACTTTGGCCAGGAGGCGATTTAGGCAGAATTCCCTCCATAGCACTGTTCATCAATTGGGCACTTTGAGTGGCCACACTATTTAATATATTCTTCGTTGCGATAATGGCATGCGCGGTTGTCGTAGTAATGGGTCGATTGTTAATAATATCTTGAGTAGCGTTAGTAATTACACTACTGATCGCTTGTTCCGCAGCATTGGTTAGCCTTTGTTGAGACGGTTCCTGGGCCGCTCCGCTGGCTAAAGCAGAACTAGCTTCAGCAACGAAGCCTGCAGGCTGATTCAACATAGAGCCGATATCTTGCTGCACCGCCTGTTGCATCGCTTGAGCCGCTTGCGCTTGTTGCACCGCTTGCTGAACCGCTTGAACTTGTTGCACAACTTCCTGCGTAGCTTGCTGCACCGCTTGCTGAACCACTTCCTGAGTGGCTTGCTGCACTGCCTGTTGAACAGCCGGTACAGCTTGAACTTGCTGTACCGCCTGCACCTGCTGAACAGCCTGTTGGACAACTTGCGCGTGTTGCACTACGTGCTGAACGACTTGCTGTTGCGCCTGTTGTACAGCCTGTACCGCTTGCTGCTGTGCCTGCGCGACAACCTGTTCAACTTGCTGTTGTGCCTGCGCAACAACCTGTTCCACTTGTTGCACCTGTTGCATCGCTACAACATCTTGCTGTATAAGACCAGGCATCTGCGGAATGTGCTCCGACGCTGTCGACATACTCTCGTTCGTAACTTGTAACGGATTATGAGATGGTACACTAACATTAGAATTCGACGTACCGGTCGCAGTCACGGGCGGCTCCTGCATCGGCGGTAATAGAGCGGCGTTGATCGTAGTGAGCAGACTGTCGTCGTTAGTTTGCTCTGTAACTACCGACGAAGGCGGCGAGACAGATGTCGCACCATTTCCTGGCAAAGGTGGCACAGTCTGAGGCGGCATCAACGCTTCGAGAAGCATCGCCTTGACAGGAATTGGTGGGCTAGCTTTATTTTGTGGGCTCGAGATCGTTTCGTGATCGGTAATCGCGGAAACGTGACTCATTATGGTATTACTATTGGGATTCACGGTACGCAGTGGCGATACCAACTGATGAGATTCAGCGCCAGAGTTGACGAGAGTATCTAACTTGACGCCTTGAGGGGGAGAAGCTAAAATATTAGAAGCTTGTCCTTGTTGAGACTGCCGTCCTGTAGTAATAATGGAAGCTCGTTGTTGCAGGCCACCTACGAATCCGTTCTCCTGACTCTCAGCATCCTTGACGTTCGATTCGATATGGTTCAGATATTTTTCTACGCTATGTCCACTCTGTGCAGGCAGCTGCCCGTTCGGTGTAGCGGTAAAGTTTGTCAATGTACCGAAATCCGATTGGTGGTGCTTCATGCGAAGATCGACAACACCGCCACCCTGAAGACTTCCATTAGGACTGCCTTCTGTCGGCAACATCGGGTTAGTTTCTTTGTTGATATGATGAGGACTTAGAACTTTGACTTGAGACGATTCGTGCATACCTCCGAAGGTGTTCTGATGTGCCGTGACCATCGATAACGAATGCGGGTTTCGCATTAGATCTGCCACGCCGAGAAGATTCACCGCCTCCTGTACCGGCGAGCCGTTCGCCGCAACAGGAACCGATCTGATCATGTTAGCCTGCGGTGTTTCCCTCGAGCTATCGCTGACGAGCTGTTGCAACGGGCTGGTGCCATTCGAACCGTTCGCAGTCGGCGTCGGTATGCTTTGCATGCTGTTCTCGCTAATCATGCTGTTCTCGCTATTTTCATCAAGTACCTCGGTCTTCAAATTATCTGGCAGAATTAATTGAAGATTCGAAGACGATCTGCGATTTAAAAGCGAATTCGCTACCAAAGCTGGTGGCGGCATCATCACGTCAGGCGGTGAATTTTGGCAATTTGGACTTTGTGCAGCCCATATCATAACTGGTGTTACCTGCGAGGATGCCGTCACTGGTGGCGGGCTCGGATCGCTCTTCAGAGCTTCCGTTTTCTGGGACGTTGATTGTTGCGGCTGTATGGTCGTCAAGAAATTCGGTGTTGCTGCGGCTGCTTGTGTAATCAGAGCTGAAACATCATTATTACCTTCTATATACGTTTAACATTTATTACCTACCGACGTTATGTTCATTTGATTATTCTCTCCTTTGCGTTTAATTCGAGGAGAACTAGAATAGCGTGTATATTTTCATTCACTTACTGTTCGATGATACACCTGTAGTTAGAGACACCGCGACAGGAGACGTTGCCAGAGCAGTATCGCCGTTATTGGTGGACAGAGGTGGTGTTATAGGCTCAATTTTTCCAACGGATGGTTCAGGTGGCGTGGACGCAGCGGTGTAGAGGAACGTGTGAGGCTCGCTCGTTTTTCCAGACGATACCGCGTACAATTTTACGCTGACAGTTTCCGAAGGTGTCAGATCCTGTCGCTTGTAGGCTGGTACCACGCATACCAGATGAGTTTGTTGCAGAAATTCCTTATCGGGCAGAACCGCGCACTCCCAATGCGGCTCCAAGCTACTCGACAGATCATCGTTGTCCAGTTGGAACACTACGCGAGTATCTTTCAGAAAATTCTTGCCGAGTATAAATAATTCTAATCCTCCGGTGCATGGGCAGGATGTGAGTGATTTTTTACAGATCTCTGGTATTCCCGGTGGTTGAGCTGAAACAATAGTAGAAGAATCATCTGTTATCTTTCATCGTTGGCGATGCCGCGCGATCCTCGAGCTTTCGTTTCAAAAGGGATAGAAGGAAAATGTTTCAAGAGCGAATTTAGAACTCGGCTGCTTAAGTTATATCATCGTGATACGTACTGCAAACGATCGGTTGCGAGCAAACTTGCAAAGTTTCTGTTGCACCGTCCGGATGGGCGATGGTTGTACGAAAAACCATACGACATCGGGTCGACTTCTTCTTGCTACGTCCTTGAAGCACCCCGGCTTCCTGAGGGAATCTGTGCTCGACGTCGACGTTCCTCTCTTTCAGGATGCCGACGCAGTCGCACGTAACCATCATGTCCTTCGCTGGATCCATGTCCACTTCGATCACGATGGTGCCGTCTATCTTCCGCTCGATGCACGGCGTCGAATTTTTGCCGCTCACGCGGCAGGCCTGGTAGAACATATGGGGCGCGACACGGCCGAGATCCGTGCCGATGAAAACTTGAAGGGTGGTCGGTTTGTCGTAACCAACGAGGCGAACGATCGGGAATCCATTACCGGTTCGATCCTTCACTGCCCCTCTCGAACCTTCCGTCTGATAGCGAGCTCTGTGCTGCTGCTCCGGTTGACAAATGATTTGCAATTGCACCTTCCCATCTGTGGAAGCGCTACCTGCAAGTTAAAGCGCAAAAACATCATTACGCTTCGAATCGAATCGAATCGAATCGAAACGTCAAAATGTTGCCCGAAGCTTAAGCCTCGATGGGATCAAAGAGATTTCGTTATCTTCCTCCGATTTGGTTATCGAGACACAGAAACACTGTAAAAAGTGTGTTGATTTTTCTACGATTCCCAGCTTGAGAGATAGAATTGTGTAACATGGTCCATTCGCAGATGCGATTATCCGATATAATCCGATCTCCCTTGCCGAACGAACGAAGGGACGCGTAGTCAAACGAAAAGTCAACGAAGAGTGGGGGGAAAAGAGTCGAGTTCTCATTTTAATTCGAGGGGGAGAGGAGGAGAGTCACAATGCGAGTTACATAAAGTCTCGTTTGACCTACATTCGGTATATCGCGTTTCGATAACAACGAAAGAGTATCGATGATTGCTAATCGGCTCCTAAACAACGAAGATAACGTATCGTCGCGGTGAAAAGTTCGACCGACAGGTGAACAATTTCGCCGGAAATGAAATTTGTGGGGCCAGCGGTTCTGGTCGAACGCGCAAGATGTTGCGAGAGCCGAAGGTTATCAATTTGCATCATTCACGCGCAAAATTTGTCGTCTCTTATCGTTTTTCGTTGCTTCCTCCCTCTCCTTCCCCTTTTGTTCTCATCGCCAGATCCAGATGCAAATAAGATTCTCCACGTGCGAAATTTATCTAACGAGCTCGTGCCTCCGACTAAAAAGGAAAAAAAAAAAAAAATTAACAATTAACACGCGCCCCGACAATATAAACAGTAGGCGGCGTGGCACTGATCGTTGATTCCCATTGTAAATTCTCCTCTCCGAGGGATTCGAGAACATCTGTAGGAGAGACGGCGTCGTTATCTCTGCCTCGTGACCTCGCGCAGACCTCGCGACTGGTATCTCCACCAAAAAACCGCAATATCAACGGCAATAAATTTTCAAACCCGTCTGCCGAGGGAGCAGCGGTTTTCCTTCTCTTGAAAGAGAAATAGAGAGAGAGAGAGAGATAAGATCGATAAACTCAACCGATAAAATGAAAAGAATTAACAAGGATGAGCAATGAGGCTCGTTGAACATCAACTAGAGTGACCATTGTTGCCGATGCCTGCCCGAAAAAGGACAAGTTTGTAGGACTTGAGTTTGTTGATTATTTCGCGCATTATTATATCTTTTTTAAATATCTGACAGAACATCCGGAACCTGAACATTGACAGTTTTGAAATTCTTCGTCACGTTCGTTTGCAATGATTGTGATTAATGAAATACAGTAGACACCCGTATATCGCGAATTCCTATAACGCGACAAAGATATTGCAACTACTGTTTTCATACAACGCGCCAAGTATTATAATAAAATAGAGGAATTCCCCGCATTTAAAAATTGTCTGTTTTTTTCTTTTTTGACGCAACCATTCTTCGACATAACGACACGAGTCGTTAGGAATTTTATTGCACACGTTAATAATAAGTCATTGAAAACACAGAAAATAAAAGTTCCAAATATACCAAAACATACAGAGAAAAAAAAAAAATCTAAATATGTTAGATTACTCGCATTATGCGAGAAAAATTCTCATGCAACACGATTTTCCAACGCGTTAGACGGAAGTCTACTATAAATGATAATTAAACTGCCGATTTTTATGCAAAATCATACCTTTGACGAATACAATTGAAAAAAGCCGAATCTGCATAAATAAAATTGTTTTGCGCACAAAACGTTACAAATGGCATTACACTTTGAATGATTTTATACATTTGTATCCGTTCTGTGCAATTTTATATCTTTGCACTTTCAATAAACGCATAAAAGTCTGCAATCTAATAATTATATGATCAATCATAGAATTAATCACGCGTTAAAAAAGCATCACAGAATTACACAATACAAAAAAGAAAAAAAGAAAAAAAGAAGAAATGAGGGAGAAAAAAGACACGCGTCTTGCACGTACACAGTTGAGAGGTGAGGGTGACAGGGCCGTGCTGAGTCCTCTTAGCAAGGACGCTCAAGCCCGGACGAGATCTCGGGACCTCGACCACTCTCCCCGTAGCTCCATTTCCTGTCCGGTTTCCGGAGATCGTGGCTAATCCTCCAATTCCATTGGACGTGCCTCTGCTGGCCGTCTTGCTGTCAGGGCTGGTCGTGTGTGCCACCTCCGGGAACGCAAAGTTCGCGTCCTCGGACTCGAGTTTGATGTCCATTTTCCTTCTTTTCGAGTCCTCCTCGCCGGCGCCGTTCCAAGCCTGTTAAGACCGACAACAGAACAGATTGACATACAGACGCGTGAGCAAGTGCATGCGTGTGCGCGTAAACGTGGCCGGCCTGGTCAATTTAACAAATCAAACCACTGACCGGCTGGGTTCAACTACCGTCAGAGACGCTGGTCGGTGTCGCCGTCGAATCAACGACAATTCGCCATCGCGTTGGATTTCTCGCGTTTGCACGTTCACAGCGGAAACTAGCGTAATTTTCGTAAGAGAAGCGTCGTTTCGACGCTAGGGGATGAGGAAACAGGATGTTAAGGAGAAAGAGGATTAGGTCACTCGACGAAAGCACGAAACTTCTTTTTCCTTCGAGGACGTCTGATTTGATAACTATAACATGCATGCGAGTTGATTGAATTATTATGAAACTATTGATTGAACTATAACGCGTTGATTTAAAAACTATAACACTAGAACTACCGACGACTGAAGCATAAAATTTCCATCGAAGCCCAAAAAGATACGACGGAGAATATATACAAGCCTTCATTAACATGTTTAAATCTTCAAAAATACACTGCTTTACGCTTATAAAATGCCTAACGAAAATTATAAGTCGATCGTTTCCGACCAATTTGGTAGTTCTAGTGATAATATGTACATGAGAAACGTGCAGTTGATAATGATAATACAAGCCACAGTGGATGATGCGCAGATAGCGCGGATAACAAAATAAGTGGATAAGTAAATAACAGAAGAATCCTCATTCTTTCGGAAGGATGCGCTAATGGTATGTATATTTCTTACTCGGTTCTATCCGACGAAGAATTCGCTTTGGTAGGCTTCCAACGATCGAAACTGAAGCAACCGTCGTATGGTACATCTGAAATCGGCCGCGATACTTTGGGTCAATATCAAACGCTTAATATTTACTAATATTTACCGGGCTCGTAATATTTACCCAATTATCGCAGACTATATCGCGGTCGTGCCGTAAGCAGCATTATTAAAACGTTTAATCTGCACGAGCCTCGTGTAGCTACACACGTACACGACGAACGTGGCCGAGTGTTCGCCGTAGTTATCCGTGTATCGCGTGGTTACGCAACAACAGCAGGCCAAGAATAAGTTTATCATTGCATGTATCGATATCAATCAAAGCTCGGTACTCGCCGAGTGTAGTGCAACGCGCGTGTTTGTGCAACACGATAAAACTGTGCGCGAGAAGTAGAGAGCGGAAATGAAAGGGGAGGGTGGAAGTGGAAAGAATGAAGAAAAGCGCGATTTCTTTCGGTTATCTTTCACCGGGCGTTCTATCTGCGTCTCCGATAGATCCGCAATATTTCTTTTAACAGAGCGTTGACTGGATCGCCGCTTGTTGCATAAACGCGCGAGATAAAAATAATTTTCAGACGACAGCCGAGAAGTCCGAGATCTTCGTCTTCCTCCACTTTCTTCGCACGTTACGACACCGGATGCAACAGAGTTTGCAATGTTGTTTGCTCCTTTTACGAGGCAGTTAGAAACATTTCGAAATATTTTAGTGCACGACAATATGTTGCTCGATAACGCGGTTCAAATGTAAACCGCCATTTCTAACGTAATAACATATTACTCGATAATGATAGTCGCATTTGCCACGTTTTGTCAAAATGTTCCCTAGCGTTACTACCTAAACAAAAGACTTCTCTTCTGTTGTACCTAAGTAAGCGTTGCTCGACAAGTTTATACGATCTTCAAAAATTTTGAATTCTCCGACGAGTTTACCGATAGTTTCAAATATAATTTCAATTTACAGTAGTTGTCATAATATTTACAGAGTATTATGTGAAGTCTATCGATATCGATTGTGAAACTGTCCTTTCGTAATAATTTGTTATTGTTGAAAACGAGAGGAATAGTCGCGACGCGAATCTTCCATTTTTAAAGTTGCTCTACGATTTTTCGTGTGTTAAAATATACGACTACGTAGATGTCAGTGTGAAGGTCGATTTAACATAAAATCGCGAGTGATACGATCGACGTATCTGTTTACGATAATTCCACTCACGTTCCGCGCTTCAGTCAAAGTTCAACAATGTGCAAGAAAAATTTCAAGTGAGAGGCTGTCAGCTCATTTTAATCCCCTCTCGTATCGATCAATGATTAAATCTTGTTCGAAACGACAATACGATCGATCTTTCTTCTGTCGTTTCATCGATAAAAATTTCAATAAGATACGTTATGTGTGATCGAAAGGTTCGACAGCCAATGTTAAACAATTATCAGAGCATCTTCCTACATCATCGAGATTAATGCTTTTAATAGATCGCAAAGATAGAACTTTGTTTATACAAGCAACAGATGTACGAAGCTTTTGTTATGCAAAATCCTATCGAGTGTAACTTCCGTTGTATGTACTATATCTAATCATGTAGATTAGTGAATCTGACAAATTAAGACATTGGCAAACGACTTGTAATTCGCAAAATTTCATTATAACCCGTTATCATCGCACGAGAGAATTTATTAACATTGTAACTTGTCGAATTCATTAAAATTATTAACTTTTCAACAACTTCGGAAGTTATTTCAACAACAATAATTTTTATAATTACATGTAAACGAAATCAACAATTCACAGCTACGAGAATTATTATTAATCCTGTTTAGTTGCCATTATTCTTGCAATTGAAATCTATGGAAATTATCAAAAAATTTAGACATCGCGCGTCGTCGTCCTTGAAAGATTATACTAAATAACTTCTGTTATACTAAAACTAAAAAGTTACAGGAACCTGTTACTATTATCTGTATTATTTCGACTTTCAGACAAACGAGATCCTGCCGCACGACGACAATTACCGGTTGGCCTCGAATTAATTAAACGACAGTGTACAGATGCAGCTGTAACTAACGTTTGCGTTGGTGAGGTGCTGTTGACGGTCCTCGAAGCCGAGACCAGAATCGTTCGAGTTATCGCAACTGTCTTGTGCCGAGCTGGCCCTTGACCCGTGCTCATCCGAGCTTCGTAAGGATCCCAAGGGTATCCTTGGCTGTTGCTGTAACTGCGGCTGCTGCTGCTCCTGCTGTTGCTGACGGTTGATCCTCCTTGTGGCGGAGTGCGCGCGGTTGCTCGACGTGACGGTGCTTCTTTGAACCGATCCTGTCACCGCTGACGATCGACCTCCTGCATTGCTACCTGAAACCGAAGAACCCGATGAATATCCGGTCGGAATTTGGGCGCAACGATCTCGAAAATTGTACAACGCGATCGAACCTGCGTTATCAACACGTATACACGTCAATCTCTATATTTTATTTGCGGTGGATGTGTATACTCGTCGTGTAAAATAAAAAAAAATTTACTTTAAAAACTCCAAATTTCAATGAGAGGTAATAAAAGTGTCATTTGGTTGGTCTTTCTCTAAACGTGCGGATTATAATCACGAGAGAGTTTAGTCAAAGATATATGTGAAAGACGATCGTGACTTGGCTATTTTCAACGCGCCAGAGCCTTCGAACATTAACATTAAAACTATCGACGATTAAAGCATAAAATTTCCATTAGAAGCATTAAAATAGAAAAAATAGAAAAAACACAATAGAGTATACAAGCTTCCATCTATATATTACGAAAAAAGACATTTATATCTTTTTTACGTCTGGAAAAAATTATAAATAGATAATTTTGACCATTTTGTGGTCATTAAATGTCACGTTATCTTATACTCTATTGGATGCAACATTTGCAAATACGTCAAACGACGAGGGCAGAGTTAATATAAACAGCTACAACCTGTTAATAACAGGGCAATCCGACAATCAAAAATCCGTCTTTCCATTAATTCAACTCGATGAACCCGATGAATGAAAATGAAAATGAGTCGGTCGACAATAAACTGGGCACCTCGCCGCGCGATAACGAATCGCAGGGAGCAAATAATTTAATTCGGACAGTGACATGTTCGGAGTTCAAAGCTGTCCAGGCAGGATATATGTGTCATCGACGAAGCACAATATTATGATTCCTCGACGATGAGGCGAGTTGCGTAATCGCTGGTTCAAAGTTTCTAAAAATGATGAATAACCATGAGATGGAATCGATAATGAATCGCGTTGAAAATAAAGAAAGATTCGAATTAGTTAGATCTTTTGGAGACGAACGATATATGTATACGTGTAAATATACTAATTTTATAAAGCAGACAAGAGGGACCGTCTTTTGTAAAAATCTTCAAACAGAATTGAACTCTAACATTTCTAAGGAAATTTTACGAGTTACACGACGGTTATCTTATAGAATTAAATTATCATCTTCAAGGGAACTAGAAAAATTAAAAAATACGAGTTAAATACAAGCTTGAACCAATAAAGAAATTTTACGAGTTACAAAAAAGCTGTTTTGCACAATTAAATTGTCATTTTTAAGATAAGTAGACAAATTATAAAATATAAGCTGAATACAAGGTTGAACGAATATTTTTAAAGAAATTTTGCAAAAAAAAAAAAAAAAAAGAGGGCTATCTTATAGAATTAAATTATTATTTTTTAGTAAGTAAGCAAGTTGTAAACGCAGAGTAATATTTTTAAAGAAATTTCACAAGTTACAAAAGGGCTATCTTACGCAATTAAATTATTATTTCTAGGGTAACTAGGCAAATTATAAATACAAAGCTAGACCACCAAAGTCGAACTAATACTTTTAAAGAAATTTTACAAGTTACAAGAAGGTTATCTTACAAATCAAATTATCATTTTTAGAAAAAACGAGGCAAGTGGTAAAGTATTATACAATTTGTATAGAATAAATATCCTTGCAATTGCAAAAAATCTTCATAGCAAATATCAGCAAGCAACTTAACATTTTAAATGCAACGAATCTAATATGATATAATATTAAAATAATAATATTATCTCGCAGGGCAGAGTCCAAGCGTCATTTCTAACAATGCGCAACAAATATTCTGATTATACTTCAGTAACAGACAGAAAAAGTAGAAAACAGTTGTCGAATCCTACATGGCCGACGAATCAACAACAAAGTCGCGACGGCGCCCGTCCGCCAGGCGTTATCACGCGATTTTTAACGCGGACGCGAAAATCCGTGACTATATTTAAACAGCCGCGTTCCGACTAGCGAACGGAGGAGAAATCACAGCTCCGCCAGCAGTTTTTAGCCGCGATGCAGCAGCCAGCCAGCCGCGGTTCGATCGTGATTTTCATTTTTCCACAATGGCTCAGACGTCGAACCGTACAAAGTCCGGCGAAGATCGACGATTGTATATTGACGCGAGATGCTCCTCTCCTCGTGGCCAGGGTAAAAAAGACGGATTTATCACCGCGACGATTAGCCGGCCGTGCCGATCAACAAATAGAACGAACAATACGCGTTGTATCGCGAGTTGATTTTCATATTTTTCAACTTTTCTCGTCCTTTTCTCCTTTTTTCTCTCATTCTGCTTGTTTCTCTGGCACTTTGCATCTGTTTGGTAAACTTCCGTGTACGTTTCGATGTTCCGAGAAAATGATTTGAACGATTTGTTTAGAGCGATAAATAATTTAAAAGGCGTCGTGTTTTTAATCCCAAAAAATGAGAATTTCTAGAAGGAAATGGAGGAATTGTTCCTTGAGCTGAAATTCTTGTTGAAGTTTCTACTCTCGATCTTACTGGCAACAGAATTGCTGTACGTACAACGACTTATCATAATGTTACAACTATTCTGTATTTCGTCACAGGTCCCAGTAAATCTATTTTCACTGATAACGCGCCGCGATAAAACTTCGCGCGTCTCTATGATCTCCGCGAGCTTCGGTCGAAACTGTTGGTAACAAGTCGACTACGAATGAACTATTTAACGTTCTTCGAAACATCTTCGACCTGTGTCTTCTGAAATAACAAAAAGAAAAAAAAAAAAAGAATAAAATTTTACATACGTACAAATTTGTACGTACGATATCCTCAATTACATTTACTTATGTACTCTTACGTACGATATTTACAGTCCGTGGATCGGCGAAATACAAAATTTACGGCCACGGCGCTTGCTAACAAGACGGAATAACACTCGATACGATCAGTTCGAAGTAAAACGCGAGCAACAGTTATCCCCGCGAGTATGAAGCGTAGGCCCGGCGATACGCGTGCCAAAGAGTCAACTCCGAACTCGCCAGATAAACAGGGGAAAAAATGCGTTGGAACGGCAGTGAAAGAGAGGGAACGAGAAAAGGAGCAAGGGAATAATATCGAGAAATGCCCCCGGCGGAAAGAGAGGGAAAAACACGATACGAAAGAGAGAGAGAGAGAACGCGTGTGTGTACATATGTGAGAAAGAGTAATATCGGTCTATCTATAGAAGCTCGACTACTGGATGGGATAATTGCGTGGGGGGTGAAGTTGCAATCGCACATGCAACTGGTGGTGAGGGGGTTCGCCTCCCACCCACTCCCCCCCCTCCCCTCCTCCTCCTACGCCGCTCTGCCGTCAACACGGGGTAGGCAGACCGACGTAATGGGCACGTGCACACACGTGTAAGGTGCATCTATGTGATCGTCAAGGAAAATCACGGGACGATGTCAACGACCCACGTTCGTGACGATCTTCATCGTTTTCAACCTCGATGCCCGGCCGTCGTCCGTCGTCGGCTCGCGGCGACACTCGCCGCGCGCCTCGTTATTTCGCTTCTACCTCGCCGGATAAATCGCGTACCTGTGCGCGGGAATTTAATTACCGCGGCGGAGCAATTAACGGAGGAGTACGTTGTCGCGGACAAAGGCGGGATTTCCTAAAAGCGGCTGAAACGAAACGTGCTCCCCTCACATTCTGGTCTTCTGCGTGATTTTTCCCTCGAATGTAACTCGCGATGCGATCTTCGTTCTTACATTCGTCTTACAATGTGCACTCTTCGTTTTCACTGTTCTATATTTCTGTGAGAGACGAGCTCTCGTCCTTCTTTTTTTTCGTTTTACTAAAGTCGCCTCGATTTCACCTGATGGTTGAAACGAAATTCCCAGTTTCCAGAAACGTGCAAGTTCGAAAAATTGCAAAACTTTACAATGCAACGGAGAAAATTATTCTACGTCTATGAAATGTCTAACAAAAATTATAAATTGATCTTTCTGACCACTGGTAATTCTAGTATAGATAAAGGGAACAATTGACGATGCATCTTTTAATTCAGAGAATCTTTCTAATTCTGGAATTTTAATATACACACGTTTACAGAGATTTTTGATTGAACGTTTCTATTTCTTGTACACGCAATGTGCCATTTTTTTTTTTTTTTTTAATGAACGAAGTAGATCGTCCTTGAGAATCTAAGATCTTATCTAACAAAACTAAGAGACTGATTTAAAAAAAAAAAGGAATGCAGTTGATCACTTTGATTTCTGAGTGTGACTCGCACGAGGAATTTATTTAAGCGTGACGTAACCGAAGAATTAGCTCTCGAATCAGTATCATCGGGTGCAAAGAGTTCTAAATTTATCGAATTTGGACAACGTCGACCGCGCAAATGTCAGGATCGCTTCGTTTTCGAGAGGCTCAGTTTCGCCACCGCTCTCTTTGTTTCCCCGTTTCGAAAACAGAACGTGCCACTTAGGATAATTGAAGGAACAACCGCTGCGCCGGCCTTGCAATACATTAAAAGCATCGCGGCGCAGCGTTAAATCACGCAGGTGGCGGATGTGTTTCCCGTTTACCGGCAACGCTTCCTCCGCGTCCAAAGAAAAAAGAAAAGAAAAACACGATTCCTGACACTTTTCAGTTCAGAAAATCCTACGAGCAATCCCGCAAGCTGTCAAACAACTCTCTCAAGAGATGGTTTAACCTCTTGCGCTGGAATGACGTGCCATTTGTCCCAAAATTGCAATATTTCCTCAGTTTCAAGAATATTTCAGTATAACTCAAAAGGCAAAACGAATAATAAATTCATTGCTTGTCAATAATTTCTAATCCAGTGACATCATACCGACGAGTTCAAAAAGAAACAGAAAGCGACGAATTGTCGTGTATACGATTCGGTCGCTCGTTATGGTCCGCAATCAGTTGCCAGCGCGGAAACACGCGTTCGACGATCGCTGACAATCTTATCAAACCCTTCGCAACGATGCCAGACCGATGTCAGTAGAAACTGGCGGCACGATGTCAAAAACAACCCCGGGAGGAGATCAGCGCGGCTTCGCCGACAATAAAGATAATGA